TTTTCATTCTGTACTGAAAGGATAGATACGTTTTTTAAAGGTTGTTAGAGGGATCTAATATAAATCCTGGTACATTCAGTTTTTTTCTTTCTAGCAGCCATACAGGTGCTGCCCTTTCACCGATATCAGAGCCCATCCATCCTGCCACTGCAACAGAGGATGTGGTATGTTTAAGATATCCTCTTTTCCTTTCCCATTCTTAATTTTTATCTTTAGGCTGTAACAAAAGAAGGATTACTCATTCTGACTGACATGTATACTGAAGCTTTTCTGAGGAGCTTAGACGTGACAAGAGAATGGCTAAAGACCCTTGGTAACTGTTCCCATTTTGAGCACCCTCGCTCCTCAGTCTGCTAAAGCAAATTGCAACTCTAAAGGCAGAAAAAGAAAAATTCCTTACTTCTTCACCAATGCGTCTATGTCCTCCAATATCAAAGGTGTGTCTGATTACCACAATTCATGTGACTTGATCGTATTTAGGTTTTCCATAGTCTTTCCAACTAAGTCTCTCAACTAAGTCAACTCAAACTCTACAGTCCTAACTGGACAACTGCAGCAATTTGTCTGAGTCCTTCACATAAAGGCGTATGCACAGTCCTGACCTACCTCTTCTGGCTTCAGGAAAAGAGTAACACTAATAATTTTCTGCACCAATGCCACACACATGTTTTCTAGGGATTTTCAGTGCAACATCACCTCTATTAAAATAGCCAAGGTGCTTTCAGCCATCATGTACTTTCTGTTGATTTTATCCTTAATCCAGCTTCTATTCTGCTCAGACTCTACCTTGCTGTGCACCAGCCCTACCCTATCCCTCTGACCAACCATTGTCCAGGACCCAGGATTTACTGCTATTCCAGGGCTCTCTCCTTATCTCACCTCTTTCCATAAGACCATACTGATAGCAGATCTGCTGGAGGATTAGAGACCAGTTCCTTCTTGAGGTGTGATTAGCAGAAGCCTCCTAAATGCTCCATTGCACTGCTGATACTATTGCTGCAGCCATCCTCTCCTAACTACTGTAATTTAGCTGCCATATTCTCTCAGCACATAAGTTTTCCATAGCTGGAAGAAAGATTTCAAGAGCAGACTGTCAGAGGCCTTGATATTTCACAGCACTTGTTATCAAGATGCTCCTAGAATAATCCCATTTAGCCAAATAAATTCACTTCCAGGTAAGGCTTGGCAGACAAAAGTTTTCTGGTCCCAGGAGTTGAAATGAAAGTCTCTACAGTTTCCTTGTCCCAAACTGAAAGTATGCCAGCCTTCTAATGATCTAGAAATGTTTAATTCCAGTTCAACTCAAAGATTTGCTTGTCATTTAACAAAATGGGATTTTATGATCAAGTTTCATATGAATTATTTTCAGTTTTCATATAAAATGCATGAACTGGAAAGAAATAATAAAATTTATCTTCCAGAAAACAAAGTAAGATGGGATGTTCTGGAAATTTTGTCCCTATAGTTTTTTCAGTCAGGAAATTCATAAAACTGACAATTTTCTGACTGTGTTTCTTTCTGATAAAAAATTGTTTTTCCCGAGGAAAACAAAAACATTTATACTGAAAAACTCCCACTCAGCTCTGCCTTCTATGTAGGTCAATAGTGATTCTGCATAGGACCAGACCCTGCCAACACATCTTTTCCCTTTCTCCCATGTTTTGAAATCAGCATTTTTTTTTAACTGAAGATATGTTTTCCAACTTTTCCTGCGACTGCTCATTTCATATGCTGAAGTTGGCATCCTGGATTTGTCACAAATGTTTTCCCATGAAGATGAGGGATGTCTCTGATGTCATCAGAGACCTGTATCACAGGTAGGACAAAACAAATGACAGGAAGCAAGAAAAGTCAGAAACACTGTCATGTAAATATTCTGAAGTAAGGTGATAATTGCTACTGCAAGGGAAGCAAAAATACTTCTAAATTATGTGCCCTTTTCCCAGTTTTCCATGGCACATCACTGTAGGCCTTCTAATGACCTGTTAATTTCATGCCAAGGTTTGAGCTCCTAGAAGCAAAAGTATCTCTTACAGGCTTTCTTCCCTCTGTGCATCCTGGGTGGAGTAGGGCTGGGCAGAGAGTAACAGCTGGCCCTTCACTGCAGTGCTGCATCACACTGATTTGTGATTTGTGATTTGTCAGTTTTGTTATTATTCCGGTGCACTCAGATGAAACCTTGTCTTTTGTCACAAGTTTCAGTTGATAACTGGAAGCTGTTCAGCCCTTGCAAGCACACGCGGCCTCTGGACGCTGACAGAGTAAATCTCGGCCCCTTGGTGAGATCCTTAGTTACTACAATCAGATTCTACATGGTTAAAGCAAAGAGGAGACAAGGAATACAGCAATGGCATATTTGCTGTTGGACAATGAATTACGGAGTCGTCTGGACTGACTTGAAGGAGACATAGAAGTCTTCCTTCTGCCTTTCAAAAAGAGTGTTTATGCTTTTCAGCCCAGCACCTAGAGGACAGGTAATCTCTCCACAGAAACAAATCTATGACAGCACACTATAACAAACACAAAAAAAGTAAGGCTGAGTGACTGAGTACACACTTGGAACAAATTACCCTTTCTTTCCCAAAGGTGATCTTTGTAGGTCAAGGCTGAAATGCATTAGCAATGCAAAAAGGGATTTGGAGGTGAACAGGTGCTGTCATTATCCCCTCCCTCCCCTCTGTTAGGGTGTATAGCAAACACAGTATCAAGGGTTATCAGTCCACAACCCCTCAGCAGGGAGTTAAGCCACTTGAAGAATATTCCCGCCTATTACTGGTTAAACCTTGATAATTTTGATTCAGCCTCCAGTTTTGTTCATTTTTTTTCCCACAATGGCAACAAAAAAAAAGGCAGAGTGGGGGGGAGGGGGAGACAGATCAAATGGATCTATAGTCATTACATTGCAAATTGAGTCAGTGGCCAGGGTAGCCCACAAAGAGGGGGAGCACCCTGACTAGGTTTACCAGGGAGCTGTCAGCTCAGGTCCACCTGAGCAGCAGGCAGAACAGAGGCTACAGGGCAAATCTATATGTGCCATTTGCACCTCCCATTGGCAAAAATGATCAGTTGTGGCCCAACTGTAGATTTAAATAAGAAGCACTAATTCTGTGAAGACCAACATGGGGCAGAGAGGACAGCAGCAAATAGGGACTCTGAGGCTGAGTCACATTTCTAGAGAGAACAGGACATATACTGCCTCTGATCCAAGAGGTGATACAGATCTTTGCTGGGTTTCATGGGTTAAAATTACTTGGTTCATGATAATTTTGCTTCCTGTCTCCTAGTAGTTTGGTTTTTATTGCATCCACTCTCTCACTGAGAATTAGAAGCAGTTTCAGAGAAGGTCTGAAGCTCTTCTTTGTGCTGCGGCGATGCAGCAGCTCCTAATAGAGCACACACAAGAAGCACTCTGTTGTGCTCCAGTGGTGATCTGTGGGCAATGCAAACTCACTATGGACACAGGGCAAGCTGTAAACAAGAAAACTGTAATCAGCCTGAAACATGGCAAGAGTAAAAGAAACTATCTATTTCCCTTCCTTCTCACCACAAGCCCAAATTTGCCTTAGTACAACCTCTGTACACATCAAGGTCCAATAGGAAATTGGTCCCCTGCATGATAATGTTTCCTCTTTCTGTAGGAACAGAAAATCCCTGTAACTATTGTGTGGCATCTGCTGGATTTATTTATGGTGAACATTGTACAATAAAGTTAAGAGGTGTCAATTTATTTAACTGTGACTTTAGAGACTGAAGTGATGTTTACTGTTTGGCTGCCTCTTCTCATCAAAAGAGTTTTTCTGTCATATTAATCCCAAGGATGGAGCAGATAAATAAAACTTACTCATCTAAGTATCTCCACGACATTGCCCCAAAAAGACTAGTCTAAAAAAAGCTAGTCTAAAAAAAATTAAAAATATTCTTGCTTTAAATCAATGCTCTTTGTCTCTTTTAGATAGGCAGGAGTTACCCAGTTTAAGAAGCCTTCCTTACATACATTACCACAACTGATCATTTTACATTTCCAGTTACTAATCTATCATACAGGGACTTGTTGACTGCACTGACAATTTCTTTTACTGCATTAGTTTCTTTATTGTTTTATTCAGTCATGCACTTGCTTTGTGTCCCAAAAGTATGCATATGTCCATGCAAATCAGGAAGAGACTCAGTTTCCATTTTGCTGTTTCTTGTCCTGTGCTGCCACTTAGATGCTTCCCCCACCTCAATTCTCATTATACTTAATCTTGCAGAAAGCATACATGCCTGACGTCAGACAGTCATGACATAGCATATACCTGTTTGTGTACCCCAACCCCCACATGCCCACTTTGCCAATTCTGGATGTCCATCACCAGAGGCATCACTTTACCAAGAACACCAGCCTCTGTGATAGCAGACACTGAAGTGGGTGCCTACTGCCCCTTGAATTCTCTCACTCCCTTCCCATCTCTAGCTGTTCCTACACCTTCTGTTTCTTTATATGATATTTTTTCCAAGGTCCCTACTCATTATCGTGTGGTTTCATAGGGAGCAGAGTTGATCTGTTTAGAAAAGTTCTTCCTTAGCTTCGCAGGATTTACAAATTCCTCCAGAAAGCTGAAATCACTTTCACAGCTTTATTCCTCAGTTCTTCCTGTATTAGAAACCAAATTACTACCCTTTATTTTAAACATCTTTCCATCACTGTTTTAAAACTACCAGGAAAAAAATCCTGTAGACACTTAAAGAATAAATATTCTTTTTGATGTGCCTTTTCATATGAAGAGAAGCAGAAACCAAAATGAGATCCATTTCTCCACATGAACAATCTTATCTAAGCTAACATGAAAAGGGAGATAAAGTTATACCTTTCTCCGATGCTTTAAGATGCATGACTGAGGGGTTTTTTACCATCAGAGGTAACTGACTATAAAATGTTTTGGGTACATATCTATATATGGTTTATACTATAACTATACAGTTTATATATATATATATATATAAAAAACCCTTGTACTTACCTTTGAGAAGTAACATTTATCCTAGGTTCAGTAAAATAGTCTCAGACAGGCACTTAGACCTTCTTTCTATGCCATGCATCCTTTTTTCAAAAGAAGATAGAATCAGAAAAAATCCCGGTTGATCTCTAGCAAACCAAAATGCAGACGAGATTGTTTGTCAGATGCAGCCTGATTCAATGAAGTCCGATCGTGCGAATCCCTGAGACTCCTTGTTCAGTAGTATCCAAAGCACAAAAAAGAGAAAGAAAGAAAAAAAAAAAAAGAAAAAGAAGAAGAAAAAGAAAGAACAAAAAAGTGAATAACTTGTTCTTTTCCTGTCTGGTTTAAAAAACCCAGTCTTGGAGGACTAAGCAGCCTGCAGGCTTTTCGAGCATTCTGATCCTAGTGCATCCCAAGGTAACACATGCATTTTGGTATTGCAAGTCTTCAATTTCATACTAGCAAGCCCAGCTTCTGTGTATGTGTGTGTGTGTTGAGGTGGGGGGCCGAGTTGTACCGTGGGGGGAAGAGAGACTGGGAGACACACACACACACACAGTCACGCAGAGATGGAAAAAGGAAAAACAGCAAAGTGGAGTGATCTCACAAAGTGCTCTAGATGGCAGAGCCTGCACGGCTTGTAAGACAAGCAATGTGCACACACCAAAAAAAAAAAAAAAAAAAGGAGGAAAAAAAAAGAGAGAGAGTGAAAAACCCGAGAGAACTAGCAGGCAGCTTCAGGAATTTCTTCTTACCTCTTCTGACGATGCAACATACAGCAAGTGCTTTGTGCTGCATAGGAATCCGTGCAGGCACGACTCAGTCAGACCCCTTACTTCTGAAATAAACAAATATGTAGCATAGGAAAGGGGAGAAAACCAGAAACCAGAGGCACAAGGATACAAAAAGAAGCTCAGAGTAAGGTTGTCAGAGAGGAGGCTTGAATGGGTGGGAGGTGAATAGTTGGTACAGAAAGAGGCATCCAAACTCCTGGTCCTAATACAGATTGGCTCTGTAATTATGTGACAAAGCACTGCCCTCTAAGCCATTGCGTAATAATAGAAACCTAAGCTGTGTAGACACAGCCTGACATGCTAAATCCGCAGGAGCTACACTCAACATTTGTCAGTAGAAAGCGTGTCAGTTCTCTGGGGGCGGAGGAAGCTGAGGGAAAAGGGAAGGGGAGAGAAATTCTATGCAAAGTGCAAGAGCTGCAGCTGCAAAGAGCTCTCAGGTGTGCCGATGCCTGAAATGTTATAGTGGAAGTCATATATTATCTGTATCTATGTAGGGAGAGATAGACAAATACAATATGTGGTGCTCAGGAACGTGTTTTAGTGGTGGATTTGGCAGCGCTAAGTTAACAGTTGGACTTGATGATCTTAAAGGTCTTTTCTGACCTAAACGATTCTCTAATTCTAATAACACTGTCAGCTCCATTTGTGCTATTCAATACTAGAAACAATTTTCCCTTGCTATATTTTAGCAACTTGAATGACAAAAAGAGGAACAGGTTGTCCGTGCAAAATATTATTTGTAGTGCTGGTGGTGAGGAGTAGTTCTTCCTTTGTACTGAACAGCACTGGAATGTCTAAAAAAAACTTGAATTGAGATAAAGGAACTCAGGAGGATTGATCAGCTTTTCCCATTTACCAGCAGGTTCCACTCTCCAGTCCTCCAAACATAGAGACATACATTTTCTTCTACCTCTTCTGGTTGAAGAGGCTTCTAGACAGAGCCAGAAAAAAGACGAGTGCTGACTAAACAACAGGAGATAAAAACCCAGCTCACCAAAATTGCCACTCACCAGTATCAACTCAACAACAGACAAAATATTTAATAATGCACATGGAAAGAATAAAAAAATCCAACAAAACCCAAGACAGTAGTACAATTTTTCAGTGGAAATTTACCTGGAAACTGTGGCCCTGAGTCATACCTGTGGTCCATCTAATCCAGTATGCTGCCTATAGACAGAGATGAGCACTACACACCTCTGAGGAATTTGAATGAATTTGTGCTGCCAGGGCCAGACAGAGAGGGCTAACCTGTTTGTGGGCAAAGCTTCTCCTTAATCCCTGCTCTTTAAAGATTAGTTAATGCACTGAAGCATGAGCAGTGGAACAGTCTACTTCTGCACATCCAGATTTAACATGTAAGGTCTGATTCTGAGGTTCTTTGTAGTTAGCATAAAGTACAGCTCTTTTTAGGCATCCTAGAGTTAAAGACTAAAATCTTCTGATGCTTTGTAAACATCCCAGTGTGAAAAAAAGGGCAAGAGTTCAGAAAGAGCTATAGTATTTCAGTCTGAAGGGTGAGAAGTATATTTTTACAGCCTCATCTAGGCTAATTACTCTCCTCGTTTACTCCTTACTCTTGGTGGAAATATTAAATATGTTTTGAGAGGCCATCCAGTGAAGGCAGAAGAACCAGGTCACCCAAATATTATGCAGATAACAAATTTGGCTCCTAGAAAGTAAAATAAGACTTAATTGAAAACTTTGAAGATACTTTTGAGAATGACTGCATAGAGCAAGAAATACTTTTCTTTTTGAGGGGTAGATTCTGCTGCAAACTTCAGATCCCTTACTGTAACCTGTCTCACTGCTTTGACCTACGCCTGCTGCATTCCCGGTGGCTCTATCTATATATCCCTGAGGTTGAAGACTGCAGATGTCGCACATATGGGAGATAGACTGTGGTTAAACAGAGGAGGAAGTATTGCAGAGAGAGCAGTTGCCCATTTTGCAGCCTTGGCTTTATATGGAACAGTGCTGAAGGGTTCTTCTTGGAAGGAAGGCTAAGAGTTACCACAGTCAGTAATCTCACTAGGCACTGAAATAAATGGCCTGAACAAAGGTAGATTTGAGAACCTGAAAGCTAACAAACTAGGTATTAAATTTTTAAAACTTACTTTATTTTAGATGACTGAAATGTGAATTTAGGAAGCTAACTTTAAACATAACTCCTAGGAACCCTGGGCCAAGCATGTTGGTAAGAAAACCAAATCAAAGCTCTAATCTTGTCAGTGCCTTACAAAATAAATGTCAGTGCATTGCAGACAGAGAAGACTTCTCTTAATGACATCAGGAATTAATAGTAGACTCTGAGACTAGTGTTTCAGAGTTTGATTTGAAAGGAAAATATTGCTTGCAATGATAGAAATCAATGTACTCCACCAGTGCACTCCAAAAATCTTCCAAAAATCTTTCACCAGCTACAGTTTTTACAGTGAAAATTACCAGTGAATAGTAAAAGATGATACAATCCTGGGGAAAAAAATCACCCAAAGAAAGGTTTACATGATGCTATGGTGTGGTGGCTCCCCACTGTGCGAGGCCAGTGTGCTTTCTAGCTTTGTGATGCCCTTTGGAATTTAATGAGAGGTCTCTGGCATTTGCCTCTTAGCTTCTCCTCTTCACCAACCACCCCTGACATATATATTCCTTTGCTCCAAAGTAAAGAGCTTCTCAGTGAATCAACCTCTTTCTTACTTGGACCTCCTAGTAGGCTACCACATCCACTCATCTCTTTTACTCAGGTGTCCCTTCTCTCTAATCCTGCTTTAGTTCACAGTCAGCCAACAAGGTTGCTTGAGCTAAATCTGCTCTTATTTCCACCTCCACAGAATTCCCATCACCACCCAAAGAGCCACAGAAGAACTCTCATTCTGCTTAGTAGTGATCATCTCTCAGGCCCACAACACTCACCCCTTGAAAGGACTGTCAAGGTTCAATTTCCCATTCCTGACTTAGACCTAGAAATTTCATGAGAGACCAGGAATACAGATGACTAAATCTATGCTCTGTGAACCTTGCTGAGCAGCTGAAGCTTTCAAGGGATGCAGCTATTCCCATTCCCCAACAGAATGCATAATTTCTATACGAAGACAACTCATAAAGAACTTAAAACCACATTCACGCAAGTTCCCTTGTACAGTGGAAACCACCCAAAAGACCTAGTTTGACACAGAAACTACATAATGAGGATGTTCTCCTTTGACATACAGTGCCAGGTACAACACCAAAGCTAAGAAAAGTTTGAACTAGGATAGCAGAGCAAGACAAAAATAAAATTGAGATGTTTTTGTGACTTCTAGGACAACTTTACCTACCACAAACATAATTCTCCTTTCTTAAGCCTAGCAGACAACATATTGAAGTCTTTGGCCATCTGACTGACAATACAATTTAGCATGTACACGTAGACATTGGTAATTCCCATTTCCTGTCCATTCCCTTACAAACTGAAGCAGTCAGCACTGGTCCACATGACTGTTTAATCAATGGCTGCCAATCAATTACACTGATTGAAAGACAATTAAAAAAACTTTGGCCTGTGGCCCTACTGATGAAAACAGTTACCAGGAGCTGAACCCACCAGTTTTGAAACATTGGAGATTTGAGGAAAGACTGTATATGTCTTGGGTGCTGTACAGCTCAGCTCTTTACAAATCATTGAATGTCTGTTTATACATGTATACACTGGTATGAAATCTCCTTCTCACATCCTCCACCCACACATCCCTCTGCTTTTAAAAGCAGCTCCAGCCAATAGATAAACTGAATGTACTTTCTTTCAGTTTCTTGCATCTTAGCATGGGGAAAACTTAATCCCAAATTTCCAGACCAGGTGTTGTTTCACAGTGCAGTGGAAGAATAAGGGTTCTTGAGGCTATTCAGGAGACAAAGGCATCACAGAAGGTCCCTTTTGCAATACACTGTTATAAAAAGCATAGACCAATATCCCATAGGAAATACAAAGATGAACTTCATTAAAATGCTTCATCAGCTCCCTTGTCTGTTTTGCAGATGAATGCAGAAGGGTTTCCAAATATCAGGAAAAAGTTTTTTTGGGTCATAGAATAAATTATGCATTCATGATCTACTCCATTCTAAGCATTCATCTCATCTGGGATAACCAGGATACTTAAGTAACCTTAAGAGGATCCACTCTAAGTTTGTAGATGCTCTGAAAGAAGGTCATCATAATATTTTTATCCCAGAGATATTATACTTTCCAGGTGCTCACTTTACAAGCAGAAAGATCCTTGTACTTCTGTTTTGCATAATCACATGTCCAGCTCAGTGGATGAAATTTAATGCCCTTTGATTGATAGGTTAAGACCAGAAGGGATAACCATGGCCATCTCATTTGACCTTCCACATAACCTCAGTTATAGAAATCCTGTCTGTGGCTTCTGCATCTATCATCATAGTATTGGGTGATACAAAAAGTATCTTTTATAAGATTATTTTAAAATGATTGATTTAAAAATTTGAAGTGATGGAGCATTCATTCCTCACTCTCTTTATAAATCTATCCAATATTTAATTGCTGCCATTGTCCAAAAA